ACACCCTGGGAAAAGCTAGCGGGTGGTACTGCCTCGGTTGACTGGTCCTTGTCTACCACCTTCTTTTTACGTGTTAGTGATGTTAAATAGACCTAAAGTGGCCCGTTGGCGGACTTGTACCGCCACCCGGCAATCGGTACTGAGGTATTCCTTAACGCGTGCACAATCACTTGGACGGGAAGAAGTTGTATACTGGATACAACAACTTCCGGAACAAGCATTTGCCACGGCCCTCGCTCAGTAGGGGCTAAAAGCCCCAAACTTTGCTAAAGAAACCTGACTTCCTTTGCTCACCCTGCTTAAGTGGATAAATGGAAGAAATATACCGATCAAACCATATACTTATTCCCAAGGAGTCGTATAAGAACCTCCCGAAAACCGCAACTCGATATCTCTTTCTGTTCCGAAAATATCACGATTTGAATTTAGTTAAAATTTTCCATGTCGCCACTTTAGTTTTCTCAATGGCGAATAGATCGCATCTACTGTATCACCAGAATCAGCGGCATCTAGCGGCCATAGTGATGACCCGGCTACCAAATGCGTTGATTCGCACTTATGTATAAAGAACACATATTTTATATCTCACGTATTCTGCTGCAAGTGGAATCGATAATCTATTTTCTGTCATAGCCATCTGCTATTTTTGCTGTTTCCAGCTGCTCCAGTTAAAAAGGATATTTGTTTCGCTTGTACGCCTGTTCCGGCTTCAGGCTTCAGCCTTCGGCTAAGGAGATTACTCTGCAATCTCGTTGTCAGCATTACATTTGCTGGACTTATTGCACTTTTCTAGGCCGTTGCGAACATCCGTTTATTATGTACGCTTCGGTAGGCAATGCCACGACGTCTAGGAAAAATAGCGTACCGTTACACTTTTACTTCCTAAGCCACCAGGCGAGACAGTATGGTAACCGCGAAAAATTTCGATTGAGATGGTATTTTGTTTGGTCTTATACGAGGTACGTAAAGTAAATGATCAAATCAGTATTACAGTTTAGGTCGTTTCTGTAATCTTGACGCTAATAATTGCTGCTGCTATGAGATAGGAACGAAATTCAAATCCAATAACTCGATATGCAGGGTGTCCGCAAAGTTGGGGTTTTCGTTTACACGACGTGTAGATCTTGAAAACATAAGCAATTTTTCTTAGGACCATATAAACCAATGTCTTAAGGGAACCGAGATAAAGGGCTCTGCAACATCAAAAATATCTGAATACCGTCCTGTAGCCGCGACCCGACGACAGAACTGGGTCGGGGTCAGTGTGTCAGGTCAGTATGCATCCTTCAACCGACGGTTACGGTCATGCGTGTAGAGGTAATCGCGTAGACGAGAATCCCTCAACAAGCACTAGAGACGTGGCTATAGAAGTGCAAGTATCAAAAACTAAAGTGTGGCAAACGCTGCGTGAAGAGGGGCTGTATCCGTTTCACGTCCAACGTGTACAAGCCCTTCAACCTGACGATTTTCCAGCAAGAGTGCGGTTTTGTGAGTGGTTGTTGCATCAACATGACAATAATCCGGACTTTTTGAAGTGCATATTGGTGACAGACGAATCTACGTTCACGCGTAATGGGGTGAATAACTTTCGCAACACTCATGTTTGGTCAGTAGAAAATCCGCACGCTGTCCGTCGGGCACATTTTCAACAAACATTTTCGGTGAATGTTTGGGCTGGCATGGTGCGTCTGCTCGGTAGCACATCAGCTAAATTCATTTTCTGTTGGAGCGGTATGATTTCGGGCAGAGACGTACTTAGCCCTTCTCGTCAACTGGAGAGCGAGTACTTTTTCATTTATTTTAAAAGGAAAACCCCAACTTTGCGGACACCCTGTATTTTGCCATTTATGCGATGCTGATACAGATCTATAGGTTTCTAAAAATCGCACTGCCGAACAGAGCTTTCCCGTAAAATTGATGGACGGTAATCACAGAACCGCGAGAAGGAATGTAGATAGTACTGTGCTCTATCTATGAAACTCGCGTGAAACTTGGCTTCTATGCTCCTTGTCGTTTTTGCAATCCTGGTACAGATCTATAAATTTCCGAATATCGCACTGTCCTTCGTAAAATTGTTAGATTGGAGAGTTGTTATCGGGTTTAGGAAAATGCGAGGAGGTTTGCAAATAATTGCTCCTGCTATTTTTATTTTTATTTTATTTTTATTTTATTTTATTTATTTATTTCCAACAGGTGAAACCCAATTACAGGAAACGCTGAAAAAGACATGGTCCTTGGACTTAAATCTATAGTATCACACATTCTAAATAAGATTGGATGATCTATAGCAGTTAATAATCGATGCAAAACTGTCACTGTAAATATCACACGACTCAGTAACACTGTTCATGACGCAGCACATGAGATTAATTGGCGATTTTGTCATAACATTTGTACGTCCAGCTTGACAATAGAATGCCGTTTGTTGTCGACCCCTAGCCTTGGAACGCGGAAACATATTTTTTCAAGTAAATTTTGACAGTCAATTTTATTGTGAATGAGGCCATACAAAAACGACAAAGCAAATATGTCTCGTCTTGTTGACAGTGAATCCAAATTGAAAAATTCTAATGGGGCACTATGGTCACAACCTCTTTCTGGATAAGAACCTGTGCATTTAAGGTGAAAATACATTAAAGCTTTACGTTGAATGGCCTCAAGGATCACGACAGAATTTTGGTATATAGGAAACCAGATCAGAGTCGCATACTCCAACTTGCTCCTGACAAAAGTAAAAAATAAAGTCATTAATGTATCAATATTGGAGAAACCCTTCCAGTTTCTGATACAGAAACCAAGTAGTCAAGTGGCAGCCGACGTGATATTGAGTATATGCTCAGTAAACGTTAGCTTGGTATCAAAAATGACTCCAAGGTCTCTATAAGAGACGCATCTGTCTATAACCTGACCATTGATGTTACAATTATCATAAATTAAATAGTTAACTTTTCTTGTATAAGTCATAACTTTACATTTCGAAACATTCAGACTGAGACAGTTTCGTGAACACCATGACGAAATTAGAGCTAAATCATCTTGCAACATCACGCAATCCTCGACTGTCTTGACTGACGTGCAGATTTTAAGGTCATCAGCGAAAAACAAATGGAAACACTTCAGTTCAAAAGACAAGTCATTAATAAATATTAAAAACAGTAATGGACCTAGATTTGACCCTTGAGGTACACCGGACGTGGCCCGATAGTAACTCGACCTATGACCACCATATTCGACAAATAACCTTCTATCCCTCAAATATGAATTCATGAGCGACAGCATTGCATCAGACATACCCACTGTTTTAAGCTTATCCAGAAGTGCATAATGATCAACTTGATCAAACGCCTTCTGAATATCTGTGTAGATGACATATGAAACTATGAGATAGGAACAAAATTGAAGTCCATGGCATCAATATATTTTGCCGTTTATGCGATCCTGATACATATCTATAGGTTTCTAATCAATCAAATTGATGGACGGTGATTACAGAACCGCGAGGAGGAATGTGATTAGTACTGTGCTCTATCTATGAAACTCGCGTGAAACTTGGTTCCTTGGCATCTATGCTCCTTGTCGTTTCTGCAATCCTGGTACAGATCTATAAGTTTCTGAATATCACACTGTCCTTCGTAAAATTGTTATCGGGTTTAGGAAAATGCGAGGAGGTTTGCAAATAATTGCTCCTGCTATGAGATAGGAACCAAATTGAAGTCCATGGCGTCAATATACAGGGTGGCGCATCTAAAACGAAACAGACGCATTTACTGGCAGCTCAGTTTTTTTGGAAAAACGGTCAGACCCGTCGATTTTGTTTTCGAGGGGACACAAGTTTGTCAAAAAATCACGTTAACACGTGCAGCCCCCTGGGCGGGGGTGACACCAACCCTGAAATCTTAAATGCAAAAGGGGGGTCGAATGATACCTTATTTTAAAGGTCTTTCAATTTCCTTTATGATGACGTAAAATACATGAGCTTCAGTTCAATAGTTTTGAAGATTTATTGATTTAAAGCTTAAAGTAAACTTTAATAGGTACATCAGATTAGTTTGTACTACTTTCAGAAGAAATTTGACTAAAAGAATTTACTTAATAGGTAAATGCCTTTCTTCACTACGCCCATGGTTTGTTTATCATTTTGTTGTTGAAAATAGCTATTGGAGCGTTTTTTTGTGGCAAAATAGTTATTTTTTGAAGAAAGATAAGGTAATATCTCGTACTTATTTTAAATACGAATTTAGTCCATAGTTTGCGATTGATTTGACCAGACTTTGTTGCTAAAATAACTCGTAACGCTTTATAACATAAATTAACCATGGTATATTCCACAGCAGAAAGAGTTGAAGTTATCGAAATATTTTTCGGAAATAATCAGTGCGCTAATAGAACAGCAGAAATACTCAATGAGCGACATGAGAACAGTAACGTGGATCGAATATATGTTCTAGAACTTGTAGCTAAATTTCGGAAAACTGGGTCAGTCGCCAATAAAAAACACAACATTGAAAATCCCATAAGGAACGAAGCAATAGAAGTGGGGGTTTAAGGGCAAGTTTATGTAGATCCTACGTTAAGTACCCGCAAATTGGAGACGGATTCTAAAGGCCCATAGTTTTCAACCGTATAAAATTCACCTGGTACAAGAACTTAATGAAGACGATTTTGATCGGCGATTACAATTTTGTGTAGATATGAGTGAACGAATTATAAACGATGAACATTTTCTATTCAACACTTGCTTTTCCGACGAATGTTCCTTTTTCTTAAATGGCGTAGTAAATCGTCATAACTGCCGATATTGGTCCGATTTTAATCCCAGAATTTATCATGAGGTTCATACACAGCAGCCACAAAAATTAAATGTTTGGGCTGGTATTTTTGACAATCATTTAGTTGGTCCTTTTTTCTTACTTTAGATTTGATTTAAGCGTCTCAAAGTACATAAGATATACCCAAACGTTGTCATGTCACAAATCCTGTGTCTATCAGTGTTATTGTTCCAGAGCGAGTAACGTGTCGGGCGAACGGTCGCCCTTCGAAGGTTCCTGTTGCGGTTCCGGGTACCATACGGTCGACTCCACGCCGTTGGGATCACCGGAAGAAGCCGAAGTGCCCAAGTATCGAGTTGTGATGCTTGGAGATGCAGGTGTCGGGAAGACGGCGCTTGTATCGCAATTCATGACTTCCGAATACATGAATACCTACGATGCCAGCTTAGGTAAGTCAGCTTTATCGTTTTATCGCAGCAGTGGTCGAAAAAACGAACCACCAAATTTTTGTCTCAACCGGAGTAGCGGTTCAAAAAACAGACCACCTTTTCAAACTATTTTACTGACTGGAGCAGCGGCTCAAATATTGTACCACCGCGTATAATACGTGTAGCAGCATGTGGCAACTATGAAAAGCCCACAGTATATTCAGATAAGAGATAGACCGGACATAAACAAGACCACGGATCATCGAACGCTGTAACATTCGGCAGGGACGTATTAACAGTTACGCAGTACATATTTTAGATAGTAGATGCTGCTTTGCGTAACTTTGTAGTAAATTAGCACAGTTCGATGTGTATACGATTGGTGATGGATATAGGATCATGTGGGGGTGGGGTAAGAAATATATAATGATGTAAATATACATAAGGGTTTCAAAATTTTCGCTTCGATTTCCAGCTTCGGATGCCGCCTGATGTTTGGTGAAATACAGTCGAATATAATCTCAAAATGGCGTTTAAATTAGCCTAAATTAAAAATAATCGTATATCTCTTGAAATTGCTTTTAGAATATTGATTAGTATATTTTTTGATTTCTAGGTAAATATGTAACCAAATTAAAACGTTCAAAACGTAAAAAAATGTGCATGGTTGAACATTGTCAGAAAGTAGATTCTTGAATAGGTATTGCCAAAATGGGTTCAAAAATGTCAATAATTAATTAAAAAATACAGTAGCTTTATAATTACTTATAACTTACCGAATTTGATGAACGACATCTTTTATTGGAAAGATGAGCTTGATGAGCTTTCATCATCGCTACTGCCTGAAGCACCAACGTCAATAATGAATGGCTCGACTTGTTCCTCTAAAATATTGTCCAGTTCCCACATTCTCTTTTCAACTTTGTCTTTCACGTGCTTAATATAGTTTTCCCATTTTTGCGCTGTTATTAATTCTAGTGCTTCTTTGAAAAGTCCTTTGAGGTCACAAAATTTAAAAGTTGTATTTGCTTAGCTATATAATTTTTAACCTCTGCCCATATGAGCTCAATGGGATTGAGCTCGCAATGGTATGGAGGTAAACGGAGCACAGTTTTATTTTGACTTGCTGCCATTTCGTCAATGGCGTATTTTTGATATTCCGCCTTGTGATCCTTGACAATTCTTAATAATTGTACTTTCAGCATTGCTTCTTCAAAGTTGATATTTTTCAAGCGGAGCAAATTTTGAACATCAACTTTCCTTGAAGCCGTTGTTGGGACCTTCTCCATTCTTCGAGAATGATAAGGCGCATTATCCAACACAATTACTGCGTTTTCCTCTAAGTTCGGTAAAATTTTTGAAAACCACTGTTCAAACGATTCGCCATTCATTTCCTCGTGGTAATCTCCAGTTTTCTTAGACTCAAAGCACCACAGACCGTCAACAACAAATCCATCCTCACTGCCAATATGGCAGATAATGAGCCTTTTCCCTTTACCTGGAAATCGAAGTACTAACTGGTGTAGATTTATTTCAATAAGCGAACCTTTTTCAAATGTTTTCATCACATTCAGCGAAAAAACATTGGGACATGAGTATCAGATTGCTATAATTGGGATTATTTAGTCATATTGAAAGAAAGAATATTGAACGTCGTATGATTACTCAGCGCTTCACAATTTAAAGTTTTAAACCTTTAAAAAATGAATGATCAGGAACCTGAAATACGCGCAAATATTAATATTAACAAATTATAACTTTATAAAGCTTAAAGTATGAATTAAAATGATTAGAAATATTAGGAACGGTACACCATATAAAACTTAGTAACTTTTTTTAAGTTTATAATATTCGACATATTTTAAGATTATATTAAAAAATTATTGAAATATCGAAAACAAATAAAAACATGGCTTAAAAAAGTTCTAACAAATGAAAATGACAATAAAACATCCACGCATTTTATTGAAAGTTATAAAAGTTTTGTTACTTGTAATATGTTTTGTCTGCCCCCTGGAATTAATGTTTAGAACCTTGTTCCCAAGGTTTGAAAAACATCCGATTGTTGTCTATTACTCGTATTTACCTGCTGGATTTTTTAATCCGGTGGACAGTCCATCTAGAAAGGCCCTCCTGGATGAAGTTACAGAATCATCAACCCATACTTTACTTGTAGTGTGTCCTGCGTTTACCCACGTTTCATCAAGGTAATAAATCTTCCTGTTTTGATTTCTATATTTCCCAATTTTTGTTAAATAATCCCTCCTCCATAGCACAATTTCTTCTCTATCCAGTAGTAAACTATTACGACCCCGTTTTTTCCATTTGAAATTTAAATGCTTCAGTAACGCATGGAAAGTTGATCGTTTGAAATTTGGCAACGTTGTATCTCCATTTACCTCCTGCAGTACTTTATCTATAGTAGGTATTTCATTCCTAAAGAAGAATTCATGCACTTTCCTCCTAATCGCATGCTTATCAGCTTCATCCAATGATTTAACAATACTTTTGCGATGTTTACTGGTCATTGGCTCAGAAAAGGTGTGATTTTTTTTGTATTGTCTTAACACATTAAACACTGATGCGCGACACACCCCAACTTTGTGAGAAGCCTTCACAACAATTTCTTTGATGGTTGATGCCTCGTTCTCCTCGCGCTCGATCTTATATATATTCAAAATGACCTCTTTCATTTCTGCACTCAGGTGTCTTCTTTTAGAGCGTTTCCTAGGTGGACTACAGGAGTTTACAACTTCGTCGGCAGTATCTGTACTACTGGGCATTTTGCGCAAGCAGTTGATAACAATAACAATCAATAACAAGGTATAACAATAACAATGACAAACTCAACAACTTAATAAGATAACAAACGAAAACGTCCAAAGAAATATCAAATTGCAATGATGCACACGACATACGCAACACGTCTGAACCTGAATGTGACTCTGCCTTGATACGACTGCTCTGCCGCTCGGCATAAGCATTTAATTGCGAATTGACCAATGAGGGCTCCTGTTTTACGTCGAGACGGCGGCGTTAGCGTGAAAATCACCCGAACCTTTTGTTTACATCCGGTCTATCTCTTATCTGAATATACTGTAGTAATGTGGAATCGGACCACATTGTACCTTAGAACTGTTCAATGGGAGGGTCCGGTACACGTGTTTGTTTTTGTGTACTGAATCTTGTGCTTGTATTAACGGAAATAAAACTAAATACGCTACAAACCATTAAGGAAAGTGTTTAATACCTTGTTATCCGTAAGTACTATTAAACACTATTTAATTTATTTCTGTAGATTAGTAAAGAACATAGGTTTAATGTGTCGTCCATATTTTGTACCACCGCCCCAATTCAAAATTGCTAGCCATCAAATGGAAGGATAAGAGATCAGTATATATGTTGTGAAATTATCATAGTCCTGAAGATCATATGGATATCAACCGCAGAGAGAAAAATGGAACCATTACGCCTATACCTTGTCCAAAAGCTGTGGTTGACTATAACAATAATATGAACGCAGTTGACAGATTTGATCAACTCCTATCAAGTGATAAAATTGATCGCCAGAGCAAGAAGTGGTGGCACCACATATTTGTTTACTTTTTGCATGCTGCTGTGATAAATGCTTATTGTTTATATGAAAAATTAGATTTGCCTGACAAACTGACGGCAAAAGATTTCAGAGGAGAAATCATTCATGGTTTGGTTGCGTCCACATTAGTTTCATCGTCGAAAAGACAAACGGAATTTAGTCCAATAATCCAAATGAAAAAGGCGAAACCACATGTACCCAAGGATATACGTCTCCATTCAGCAGCACATCAGCCAGAACAGGGATCCAGAAGAAGATGCCCAGTCTAAACTGACTGGATGTGCACAATCTGCAACGTACCCCTGTGTTTAGGCAAGCAAAAAAGCTGCTTTCAAAGCTTCCATACGGCTTAGTTCAAAATGAATTTTATGTTTTTTTATTACAATACATTTTTTTAAGATATTTCTTAAATTTTGTGATAATTTTGATGTCAATGAGATTTTTTTGTATTCTTGGTAGGAAAATAAATACTTTTGAGTTGAAAGTTATTTTATTTGATATTATTCAACTGGCGCGGTGGTATAAAAAATAGTCCACCAGTTTTTTCTACAATATGGACACTTAAACCGGAAAAAACATTTTTTACTACATATTTTTAATTTTTTATGTAAATTAAGTCATTTTTTGATATACTAAGTGACATATAAATCCGAACACCCAGTTTAAATGGTTTTATTTTAATAAAATTTTGTATAAGTACTTCATGAAGCATAATAAGTAAATGATAAAAATTTCCAAATGATTGCACTGCTTTAAAGCCCTTTGACCTTTAATAATGTGTGGATGCACCCTGATGTGCTACGCATTCTCCAACGCACCTAGGCATGCTTCTGATCAGGTGGTCAATGTCCTCCTGTGGTATCTCATTCCAGGCAACCACCAACTCCTCTCGAAGTGCTTCTAGAGTCTGAGGAGGACGTTGCAAATTGAGCAATCTCCTACCCATCATATCCCACACGTGCTCAATTGGGGATAAGTCGGGAGATCTTGGTGGCCATGGTAACAATGTGACATCATTATGTTGAAAGAAGTCTATTGTGACTCTTGCAACATGTGGTCGGGCATTATCTTGTTGGAAAGTTGGATCTGCCAGGATGTCAAGATAGTGTAAAAGATGGGGTTCTAGAACTTTGTGGATATAACGCTGCGCATTCATGTTACCTCTGATGCAGATTAAAGGTGACCTGGAACCATAATCTATAGCACCCCAAACCATAACTCTAACAGTGTGATGAACATGTCTTTCAACAAAAAACTGTGGATTCCTCATTTCACCACGTCGCCTTCTAACCCTGGCACGACCATCGTGCATGCCTAAACCAAATCGAGACTCGTCACTAAAGACAATACTGCTCCATTCCTGATCCCAGAGTGACCGTTGTCTGCACCACTCAAGGCGATTACGTCGGTGTTCTCGAGTTAAAGGGAGGACCCAGTGTGGCCGGTATGAAAACAAGCCAAAACTTCTCATTCATCGGTAAACACTTCGCATGCCAATAGGTCTTCCGTGTTCTGCAAACCATTCATTTGCAATGGACCTGGTAGTGGAGAAACGGACCCTTAAGGCCAATAATCTTAGGCGGCGATCTTCACGGTCTGTTGTTCTACGGCGGCGTCCAGTGCCCCTTGCTTTTTGCGTACGGCCTTCTAGAAGCCATGCCTGACAACACCTAACCACAGTGTCTACACTTCTTTGCACTCTAACTGCAATTGCCCGAAAAGAAAGTCCAGCTTCCCGAAGTCCCACTATACGGCCCCTATCAAACTCACTAAGTTGACGAAATCGTACAGGTCTCCGTACTCTAGGCATCGTAACCGATCGCAAAGGATGTCAAGAACCAAAATCCGCCAACGTTGATTCTTTACTGCGGCTGAAATATTCATTTTTAGAGCGTTAGTGAATTAAAAAAAAGCAGTATAAAAACCGGAATGTCCAACTGATAAGGCTGAAAATTTTTTCACTTGTTATTTACAGTAAGATAAATATATTCACCAACTTTTATTAAAATAAAACCATTTAAACTGGGTGTTCGGATTTATATGTCACTTAGTATATAATAAAGCGTTAAAACTTTTTGTGCCAGCTGGGGCAAATTTCTTGACCATGTCTGCTTCGGTAAGAGTTAAAAGAAATTATCCGAAAGCAGACCTCAGTTTCGTTATTGATTTGGAATGGTATGAAAAATGGCTAAATGCATGTTTTGAAAGCGTGCAATATTTGCCTTGGAATGTTTAGGCGCATATGCAGGGTATGTATCATAAATTTAACGAACGATTCTTAGAGTAATTTTAAGGCAAAAAATTCATATAAACATAGTTCCGCGAATTCTTCGTTCTCAAGTGTTAAAATTTAACAAAATAAATGCGTTTTCCTAAATTTCTCAAATGCCCTTTCTCTAATTTTGCTAATTTGGCGGTGGTATTTATAACTTTAGGGAGCTAATTTAGGCCTAACTTGATTAAATATACTAAGTGACATATAAATCCGAACACCCAGTTTAAATGGTTTTATTTTAATAAAATTTTGTATAAGTACTTAATGAAGCATAATAAGTAAATGATAAAAATTTCAAAATGATTGCACTGCTTTAAAGCCCTTTGACCTTTAATAATGTGTGGATGCACCCTGATGTGCTACGCATTCTCCAACGCGCCTAGGCATGCTTCTGATCAGGTGGTCAATGTCCTCCTGTGGCATCTCATTCCAGGCAACCACCAACTCCTCTCGAAGTGCTTCTAGAGTCTGAGGAGGACGTTGCAAATTGAGCAATCTCCTACCCATCATATCCCACACGTGCTCAATTGGGGATAAGTCGGGAGATCTTGGTGGCCATGGTAACAATGTGACATCATTATGTTGAAAAAGTCCATTGTGATTCTTGCAACATGTGGTCGGGCATTATCTTGTTGGAAAGTTGGATCTGCCAGGGTGTCAAGATAGGGTAAAAGATGGGGTTCGAGAACTTCGTGGATATAACGCTGCGCGTTCATGTTACCTCTGATGAAGATTAAAGGTGACCTGGAACCATAAGCTATAGCACCCCAAACCATAACTCCAACACTGTGATGAACATGTCTTTCAACAAAAAACTGTGGATTCCTCCTTTCACCACGTCGCCTTCTAACCCTGGCACGACCATCGTGCATGCCTAAACAAAATCGAGACTCGTCACTAAAGACAATACTGTTCCATTCCTGATCCCAGAGTGACCGTTGTCTGCACCACTCAACGCGATTACGTCGGTGTTCTCGAGTTAAAGGGAGGACCCAGTGTGGCCGGTATGAAAACAAGCCAAAACTTCTCATTCGTCGGTAAACACTTCGCATGTCAATAGGTCTTCCGTGTTCTGCAAACCATTCATTTTCAATGGACCTGGTAGTGGAGAAACGGTCCCTTAAGGCCAATAATCTTAGGCGGCGATCTTCACGGTCTGTTGTTCTACGGCGGCGTCCAGTGCCCCTTGCTCTTTGCGTACGGCCTTCTCGAAGCCATGCCTGACAACACCTAACCACAGTGTCTACACTTCTTTGCACTTTAACTGCAATTGCCCGAAAAGAAAGTCCAGCTTCCCGAAGTCCCACTATACGGCCCCTATCAAACTCACTAAGTTGACGAAATCGTACAGGTCTCCGTACTCTAGGCATCGTAACCGATCGTAGAGGATGTCAAGAACCAAAATCCGCCAACGTTGATTCTTTACTGCGGCTGAAATATTCATTTTTAGAGCGTTAGTGAATTAAAAAAAAGCAGTATAAAAACCGGAATGTCCAACTGATAAGGCTGAAAATTTTTTCACTTGTTATTTACAGTAAGATAAATACATTCACCAACTTTCATTAAAATAAAACCATTTAAACTGGGTGTTCGGATTTATATGTCACTTAGTATATATCAAGTCCAGTCTCGAGCGGCATCTGGACGAATATTTGTCATAAAAAATATAAGTCACTGACATTTGTGCAATTTTTGTTAGGTTATTTGAATTACGCAAATAGAAATACAGTTTTTTTGTTTCTTGAATTTTGTTCGCATCTTGCTTAATTTTCGAAAAAAAAAATCCACTTAATTGCATATTCCTGGACCACATGTCTATGTCACAGGTGCATTACTATGGAAGTACCTTTGTTGGAATATACTGGATGTTCATGCGACTTCCTTCATATAAAAAATATACTCTTTTATTTTCAGATGATGAGTTTGGTGAAAGGACGGTATCCGTTCTGTTAGATGGAGAAGAATCCGAAATGATATTTATTGACCATCCCGCATCTGAAATGTCGGTAAGTAAAGGGTGCTTCTTTTTTCAACTACCATTTTTTGACATGTTAAATTTGAAAACTGTCATGCGTTTAGCACATATGAACTGTCAAAGGTCTGCCATTTGTTATTATGGCTTCTTTAACAAAGCAAGAATGCGTTTTCTTCGTCCAAATATACGAGAGATGTCTTTTAAGTTTTGCATATAGAAACATAGTAGGCCGCGTGGATCGAACGTCAGTACTGAATCTTAAATTCAAAGTTTCGCAATAATTCGTGCAGTGTTCTCACTACAGTGAATTTTTAAGTGTCATTAGAAAAATGGAACTCAACCGAGAACATTTTCGCGCCATAATTTATTACAACTTTCAGAGACAATTATCGCAACAAGAATGCCTTGCTGAGTTACTGTCTGTTTTCGGCAACGAAGCGCCACATCAGTCGTCAAGTTGACATGTGACATGTGATCTCAAAGATCTCAAAGACCTCAATTCAAAAAGTTTTACATGAAGCATTAGGAGCAAGAAAATTAGTTGCTCGTTGGATACCCCACCTGTTGACTGAAGAGCAGGAAGCACCTAGTGTCAAAAAACGCTTGACCGTTAAAATTCCGGAAACTCAAAAAATGTGTACAGCATTGTTAGTGGCGATGAATCGTGGATGTGTATTAATCTTCGTGGGGAATACTTCGAAAAACAATAAAGTCATTTAAAACTACCTACCGTGTTGTTTTATTTCCATATGCAAAACTTAAAAGACATCCCTCGTACCCAGTAGTACAAAGCTGAGCATTCAACGGGAATAAAAAATAATAATAATAATAATAAGTTATTGGTGCTATTACACAGAAATGTGTTTGCACAAGTCAGCTAAAGTATATAAAACATAAAAGAGTAAGTAAAAACAACAAACAATACGTAAATGAGACAAACATAAAACACAAAGCGGCAATAAAAGCTAAATAAAGTTTAGATTAATTAGAAATAGAGTTGGTTAAACAATTATGAAGGAGGCTAATCACGATAAAAATTATGCCAGACTGAAAAATCGAAGTTAAGGCTAATTGTCTGAGGCGCCTGTCTTGACACTATGTAGTACGCCTCGGTGGACCAGCTGGCCTTCTCCGTGTTCCTCTACCTGTTTCTATCCACACACGACACACACGCTTTACGGTCATTGCAGTACAATTACACTGACCAACAGCCAAAAAATATCCTAAATAAAATCAACAAAATAAATTAGTTCAAGTTTTAGAGATACGGTAATTATATGTGTTCCTGCTGTGACAGTGTTAATATACTGTAATTCACAAGAATGCACGTGCTACATTTTTATATTCAGCAAGGAAAGATGATGTAATCGGCATGATTGTGTTACGCTATACATACGTGTACATTATATTGTTTTATATTAGCCATTTTTTCCTCAGTTGGCTGACAGCGTTCATGCAAGATGTCTCGAAAGTGTGTAAACAATCCAGATCAGTTTTGTTACGTGTGTGGTGATGTGACTTTTGCGTCTCAGAGACGGTTTATTACTCCACTAATAACAAAGGCATATCAGCTTTATTTCGGTTGTAAACTAGGTGATCAAGACAAACAGTGGTAATACATGTGCTTCAAGTCTGAGGAGCTGGTTAAATGGCAAAAAACGGTCTATGCGCTTTGCTGTCCCAATGGTTTGGAGAGAGCCTACAAATCATATTAATGATTGTTACTTTTGCATGGTACCTTGTGTTGGACAAGCCACAGGTATGTCCAAGAAAAAAAAAATCGGTTATTAACTACCCAAACATACCATCTGCGATGAGACCTGTGCCTCACAGTGACGAAAATCCTATTCCAAAACCCCCAGAATCCTACACTTGCGAATCAGAAAACGAATCAGATCATGGCGATCGAGTCATTCGTCAGGAAGAAGATATGCCATCAACGTCAAGAGATCCTGATTTTATACCGAGCACGTCATGCCACCAACCGCACAAAATAACACAGTCAGAATTAAATGATCTTGTAAGAGATTTAGAACTTCCAAAATGTAAGGCAGAGTTACTTGGATCAAGACTGCAGCAGTGGAACTTGTTAGAAGACGATGTGTCGGTATGTGTTTTTCGTAAACGCCACAAAGACTTAGAAACATTTTTCAATATGTAGAATAACTTGGTTTTCTGCAGTAACATTAACGGCTTACTGGCGGCTTTAAATATAAACTATAACCCAGAAGAATGTAGATTGTTTATAGACAGTTCAACAGTGAGTTTAAAGGCAGTGCTATTGCATATTGGAAATATTTTACCATCTCTTCCTGTAGGGTATGCAGTTCACATGAAAGAATCATATGACAATATGAAGTACCTATTGATATGCATAAAATACGATAAGCACCAATGGCATATTTGTGGCGATTTGAAAGTTGTTGCACTTCTACTTGGGCTGCAGCTAGGCTACACAAAGTTTTGCTGTTTTTTATGTGAATGGGACAGTCAGGCAAAGGCACTTCATTACAACAGACAAAACTGGTATGTTCGTCAATTCCTAGAGCCAGGTCAAAAAAATGTACAGCATATGCCATTAGTAGATTCGAAAAAAAATTTATTACCACCACTGCATATCAAGTTGGGCCTAATGAAAAACTTTGTCAAGGCATTAGATAGAGATGGGTCAGCTTTTCAATACCTGCGTCAGAAATTTCCAAGACTAAGTGAGGCAAAGGTTAAAGAAGGTATTTTTGTTGGGCACAGATTCGAAATATTTTGAAAGATACACAGTTTGAAAACACTTTAACAGGTATTGAAAAAACTGCTTGGAATGATTTCCGTCTGGTGGTCACTAATTTCTTGGGAAATAGAAAAGCTGACAACTATAAAACCCTTGTCAAAAATATGCTGTCATCGTATCAAAAGATGGACTGTAATATGTCTCTTAAGATACATTTCCTACACTAACACCTGGACTTTTTTCCTGACAATTGCGGAGCCGTAAGTGATGAGCACGGCGAACGTTTTCATCGGGATATTTCAACAATGGAAAAAAGGTACCAGGGAAAGTGGAATCCTTCCATGCTTGCAGACTACTGTTGGACTCTTGGTAGAGATGCTCCAGAAACGATCCATAAAAGAACAGCAAAAAGACAGCGCATATAGTGATTCTTATAAGTTACTTTTTTTAATATATCCTTATAAAATAAAAAGTTTCTTTTCTAAACCGCAACTAATTTTTTTATTTCATTGTCATTTTTGGATTCAGCGCCCCAAAATTAACAAAGAAGTGCACTTTTCCCACAAGATACAATTAAAAAACTAAAATTTGTTGTCCAGTGTTATCACGGCGGCCAATTTCTCGATAAGACAAACCAACATCTCGATAGGCAATAATTCTACCTGTGTCAAAGTTTTGGACGTCTTCAGGCGTAGCTATCGCTCGACATATCAAAAGCATTCTTTCTTCAGTTGTACGTCATATTTTATCTTATAACATTCAACGTTATTGTATGGCTTTTCAATGACGTCTAAGTACGATTTTACTGTACTGTTCGAATTATTTTGATGTCAATAAAAAACCACACATAGAAAAATCAATCGTAAGATTTCCTAAATTAGAATTAATTCTTACCTCCATTGCAGGGCAATGAGCGCGTTCTCAAATATGGTGAATGCGTATGGTATTTATACGTGTCGCATTCATCATAATTTGAAAAAAATCCAACCATACAGGGTGTTTCACAAGTTATCCGACAAATTTTAACCGCATATGCACTGTTACGAAAGAAGTTGATTTCTCAAAGAATAATTGCAATACAAGTCCTACAGAAGCCTGAGATTCAATAATTAATTGAAAAATAAATATCTGTATTTTGCGTTCATCGTCGTGATATTAGAATACGCATTTATAATTTACTGTAGCAAATGTTGTGCCAAACCACTGACGAAAACAAAATACCAGGCGTACTGATAAGTATGTGTAAATAATCTTTATGAAGTTAAATAAGAAAGTATTTTGTTTTTAGTTATTTATTTTTTGTATGCACACCGATTTCCGAAAAGGCACATACCGCATCACGAAACATTTAGTTCATTTGTTTTAAGTGCACGTGCTAGTGGAGATTTGCGCCCTAGACGTGGAGTGGATGGGAGTCGGGCTCGCCCACAACGCGTTTTAAATGTTTTAAAAGACGAAATTTTGGATATTGTTGAAGAAAATCCAGGAGTAAGCACAAGGCAGTTAGCCCAACAGGTCCCAGAAGTGTCACATGCAACAGCGTGGCATATATTACATGAGGCCCAACTGTACTCTTATCATGTCCAGAAAGTCAAGGGATTGATACCTACAGAATACCCCCTAAGAGTAAGATTTTGGAGTGGTTGTTGCAAGAAAATGCTTGAAATGCCCCGTTTTACAGTCAATGGAAACAATCTTAAACAGCTTTTATAAATAAGTGAACTGTTAAACTGTATTATTTTATTATCTTGATTTCTGTAGGACTTCTATTACATTTTTTTTGAGAAATCAACTTCTTTCGAAACAGTGCATATAGTTAAAATCACGAAAGATGACTATTACGTCATATCATAAATTGTACCGAAGTAATCAATGGACGTACGTCGATGATAAAACTACGATGTCAGAACATAATGACAACAAATTTATACTATGATTTTGCGAAGTTAGGTTATTTCACTGATTCTTTTTTTTTCATTTCATTTCATGGTTTTGAGTGATACCTTTTTAATAATTTTAGTGGGGAGCCTTTGTTTTGAAACAAACAGTTATGAGTAGAATACCTTAAGACAGGAACACCAAAGATCAAAGTATTATTCGGAAACAACCTAACCTTCTTTAACATAACCTAACTATTCATCTTTCAAATATACTAAGTGACATATAAATCCGAACACCCAGTTTAAATAAAATTTTGTATAAGTAGGTACTTAATGAAGCATAATAAGTAAATGATAAAAATT